CACATCTTAAACCACTGCAAAACTCTTTTCCTTTCATGATTTCAAAATATTGATCGTCCTCCAATCCCTCCCTCTCTTTGTCTGTCCAAGAAGCCTTAGAACTGTTTGACTTCGCTCCAGCCCTGACAGGCTCCAGAACCAGCCCAGACAGATGCGGCTGTGGCCTATTTTTCTCAACCTTACGCCCTCTAGATACATTTTAAGCTAACTGGTCTGCCACTGGATCCAGTGCATGGGATTGCAAAATCACTCCATGGTCATCGTAACTTTAGCAGGCATAGGATTGTTGGTTACAGGAGTTAGTTCCCCACTGATATTCATACTTTGTGCTGAAATGCTTCCAGTACACCAGCTAATTCCCGAAGTGATCAGTGTGACATTTTTATTTCTGCATCACCCATAAACACCCTTTTTAGAAACAAAACGTCCATGTGTATCCCTGGAACCAATCTGCTAAGTGTAAGATGTACTTTTTATGCATAGGTCTCAGGTTATGTGCAGGTGTAATACATATCTGGCAAGAATGCAGACTAATACAGCTTCACACGTCCGAGCCTGATGAATCAATGGAATACTATTCATTCCACCAACAGGCAAAGTCGGACAGGCCTTTATCTGTAGTTGGAGTTTAAATGGGCTGGTGCTGCTTATTTCTTTGAAGGTACAATCCTATGTACTGCAAGAATAGGGAAAACAACCTTGTAATTATACTCTTAAAACCTTAATGACTGCATCTTTTTTTTTTTTAAGCCGAGAATGCACTGGGGGGGGGGTGTTATTTATTGTATAATTTAGTACTTATTTTATTACTTCTGTATTTATGTGTTGTGAGCCGCCCCGAGGCTTTGTTGCAATGGGGCAGCATAGAAATGTTTTAAATAAATAAATAAAAAATGTAAATTTAAATGGAAAACACCCTAAAATTCCCAGCAATCCTCAGCCAGCATGGCTAGTTTGCAAATCCTGACTATCGTAGGGCTTTCCCCCATCTCGACATGCATAGGATTGAGCCCTTATTGTGTTTCAATTGCTTTTTTGATAGGCTTTTCATCAAACGTTAAAAAATACAGATTTCACTGTTAGCTGACGAGTGTTTTTTGGTGATAGAAATTAATTAAATATATGTAAAGGTTGCAGCCCAAAATCTTTCAGACTCTCTGCTCTAAGATAGTAGTTGAGTGGCTTGCGAACTAAACGCTACAGTCCCCGATTTGGATTATGCAACCTACACAGATCCGGCTACTTAGTTTGAACATGTAGTAACTGGCGGGTATGCAGACTGCCACGCTGGACACCGACCATCTGCGTACTCCCCCAGAGAAAGTACACGGGGCTTTCTAGCCTCATTGACTTCAACTGGCAGCACACTGACTGAACTTCTTCTGGCTGGGGTTCAGACTCCTGAATTTATCTTGGAGACAGCAAAGAGAGAGGGAAAAAACACATTAAATTACTTTAAAATGTTTTTAAAGGTCTTTATTGATGGGATACAAACTGTGATTGCTGCACAGGTCACAGAAGAGCATTAGAATGTATTTACAAAGGTATTTTGGGAAATTATGGTGTTTTCTTTTGAAAAAAAGAAGAGCTGAGCTTGGCAATGAAATGTCACCCTCCAAGGAAGTCCAAAGCATCTGTCTGAGTTTGTTCAAGGCAACTCAGCCAAAACCTATTAAAGAGCCTATTTATTTAATAGGCAGTGCCATGGCAGCTCCAGAGCCAGGACCTTGGTTCTACCCTGCTGCTTAGGATTACTTTTTGCGGGCAATGAATGAGTCTCCAACTGTTACTTACTGGTGTCATGTTCTGGCAGCCCTGTCTGGTTTCCAGGGGAGCATCACTGGCCAAAAGGACACTGTGCACCTCACGTAACCAGACAGGGTTGCTTCTGCTTCTGCTGCCTCACAAGATTAGCACGTCAGCAACAGACCAGTTCACTCCACCGGGAAGCAGGGGAATAATCAGAGTCCTGCTAGATCAAACCAGCATCCATCTAATCCAGAATTCTGTTCACAGTGACCAACCAGCTGCCCACAGGCAGGGCAAGAGCGCAGCAGCAGCACCCACCTGCCCCCTAGTTCCCCAGCAAGCGGTGCATGTAAGTGCATGGCTTTGTCACTGGAGGAAGCATCCAGCATCCAGCAGCCACTGATAGCCTCCTCTCCATGAATAGCCATCCAATGCCACTTTAAAGCCATCCAAATTGGAGGTCACCTCTACATTTTGAGACAGTGAATTCCATCATTTGCCTGTGTGCAGTGTAAAGAAATACTTTCTTTTATATGTCCTGATCTCTACTAATTCTGGACAACGTCCAGAAAAAAATATGCAGCCTGTAAGTAAACTTCCAAAATCCGTATTAATGAAATACTCCCATTAGGCCAACCAAAAGGTCGCCTCAAGCATGCAAGCTTTTGAGGTCTTTTTATCAAGTAAGATGCTATAAGAAGCAGAAAGGGGGTGGACAACTAATGGAAGGGGAGGGGATCTGACTGGATATTCAAGTCAGTGCCAGCCCCAAGTGTAGCTGCTGATAGTAGCCATCGCACGACCTGAGTCTAATTTGAATGCACCAGTCTTGCATTATTGCACTGGGAGCTATGAACACGCAGATCCTGATCTACCCTTCACTGCCAATACCTGCTTTTTAGCCCACTATTTCTGATGAAAACAGAGAGATCTCAAATCTTACACACTACTGGTGATCTTTTGGTTGACCTGATAAAGCTTTTATATTGATATGGGCTTTAGAAATTCCAAAGTGAATCTCTGTCACCACCATGTTAGTGCCAGCAAGAATGAAAATGTTGATTATCCAAGGGAAGTCCGTCCAGTTGCAGAAGAATCTCAGCCTGTGCTTGATCTGGGGGTTCCCCAGCTCCCTGCGGCAGCTTTTTAGGGAAGAGCAGTTCCTAAAGTGCTTCAGTTTCTGAAGTGTATTTGGCTCCCTCTGCTGATTAAACATTTAACTGCTCTTTTAGAAGAGAATGCATTATGGGACAAAGAAATCAGCACCCATCCTTAATCTAACAGTAACTAATCCCTGTTTTTAAACTAACTATCCATCTATCCATCTATCTATCTATATATATATGATCATTGCAGTTAAAACAGATCTGCCAGAAATTATGTCTGTAATATTTCTGATGAGGCAAAATCCAATTCCACTCATGCAAGAGGACCTTCCCTTCCTCACTTGCTGAGCATTGCACAATCTCCTCAAATCTACGCTAAGCATTTCCTCAGCTCCTCAGAGCGGATTTTAGGTGGGGGACAAGTAGGAGGTTGCAGGGAATCACTAGTGGAACTGTCCCATTTGGATGCTCTTGCTGTTGTTACGTGCCATCAAACTGTTTCCAACTTATGGCAACCCTAAGCCCCCCAAAATGCTCTATCTAAGACAGCCATGCTCAGCTCTTGTAAATTCAGGGCTCTGGCTTCCTTTATGGAGTAAATGCATCTCGTATTGGATCTTCCTTTTCTTCTTTTGCCTTCAACTTTCACTAGCATGTTTGTCTGCTCCAGGGAGTTTTGTCTTCTCATGATGTGCCCAAAGTATGGAAGCCTCAGTTTTGTCATTTTTGCTTCTAAGGAAAGCCCTGGCCTAATTTAATCTAGAACCCACTTGTTTGTCTGCCAATTCAGGGTATTAAAAAAGCTCCCCTCCAGAACCCTGTTTTGAACACATCTTCCATTTTCTTCCTGTCAGCTTTCTACACTGTTCAGCTTTCACACCCACACATAGTGATCAGGAATATGATTAATTGGATAGAACTAATATCTATTGGTGGGATAGGTATTTTGTACAGTAAATGAACAAGTACAGCTAAAGAGCAGTTCTGCACATTTGTACCCAGAAGCAAGCTCCACTGAATCCAATGGCACTTATTTTCAGGGGCGTTTAATGGTATTTGCAATCTTGATCTCTGTCTTCTGGAATATTCTACTCTGAAATCTCCACATAGCTGAAAATCTATAACATATATAATGCATTCTTCATCAGAAAGTTCACATGCCACCTATGTCTGCAACAGATTAGCATACAGGATGTCAGAGAATGGAGAAAATAATTAAGCATTGGCTGGAGACTTCTTTTTCTAGCATTCTAATTCCTGCTTCATTCCAGCAACTTCATTCCAGTTCTTTGCAAGACTCTCAGCATTTATAATTAAATCTAAAAGTTGTATATAAGCTGGTTGAAAATATTTCCCCAAAGCTCAATGTATTCTTTACAAGGTGAATGTCTGCATTCAGAAGCACGACTGAATTAAATGGAACCTACTCCAGGTAATGAGCAAACTTCTCCATTAAGGCTGCTTAGGATCTCCCACTTCCAACATTTCATTGAAAGTCCATTTCATTCCGGAAGTCCTACAATAAAAAGTCCTGCATGTCTGGCTTGGGCATGGCAGTTGCAGGCTTTATTTTTTCCTGCCTAGGCGTGCACAAAACGGCATCTTTCTATTACTCAGAAGTAAACCTTATTGAATTAATGGGGCTGGCTCCCAGGAAAATGTATACAGCATTGTATTGTTTAATACCAAACAGTGCAAGCGGGTTAAATGCCATCCTTAGCTAAACTCTTCCGCACCTCTCAAAGCAGAAGGCACGATTATGCCCCGCAATCGCAAAGGGTGCCTCTGCCTCTGCCGGAGGTTGCGTGAGCTTCGCTGTTCCTCCACCCTCCTCCTCCAACCCCTGTCTCGCCCAGGGAGGCTTCTAAGCGCTCAAGTCGGCGAACCGGAATTATCGCTTCGCAGTTGCAGAGACTGAACACCCTGCTCCCCGTCACGCCCTCGCGGAGACTTCCGCGCATGCCCACTCGCGCCTTGTTCCCTCCGCCCACCCCGCGGGACAGGTTCTGTCTGACATCACAAGAATACATCCGGGTCACAGACGGGTTTGCTTCCTGGAAACGGTCTCTTCCGTTTCAGCATCGCCGGAGCCGGGGTGAGTCTCGGGGAGGGGGCTGAGGTTGCGGTAAGGTTGCTGTGCTTCTAAGGACTTGGATGCTTCCGTTCGCCGCTGAGCATAACGACTGAGGGGCAGCTTTCTTGGCAAATGCTCGGGGTGTGTGTATCTGTCTCTGTATCGCCGTCTTGTCTGTCTGTCTGAGCGTGTGGTGTGCAGGTTTGTGTGTGCGCGCTCGTCGGAGAATGAAGGATAATGAGACAGGTGGTTGATGCAGCGAGAAAGAGCACAGCAGGGCCGCCCTGTGGCCCGACAGTTTGAGGCTAATCTTGGTTGACAAGTAAGGGCAGCGGTGCCTTAAGTTATACTATGGTGGCTGGGGAATGCTAGGAGTCCTAAGATTTTTTTCTGTCTAAACATGCATAATATTGCACTCTTGGATACTTTTTATAGTCTATACATGGTTATTAAGAAAGAAGTCCCATTAACTTTAATAGGATTTACCTGTAGGTAAGTGTGTATAAAATTGCAGTCTTTCAGTTTCTGTTTTGTTTTTGCTTTTTAACCTGTAATTGTATTTTGAATCCTTGTGCCACTGTTACATTTTATTGGGGTTTTTATTTTATACTATATTTTTAATTTTGTTAAATTGTTTTTTATCATTGGTGGATTTTATGGCTTCAGTGACTGAACCACCCAAAAATTATTGGCTTTGGATGGTATTAAAATGCAATAAACAAGTTTTAATTTATTATAATTGCATGTTTACTCTTAGGGAGAGATACCTGTGGTATTTTTCCCCACTCAGGTGGCAAAATGACTTGGCCAGCCTACAGTGCCCATTGACCTGTGAGATGGGTGTGTACCATTTCTTCTTTTGCCTTAGGCATCCTAGTATCTTGGACTGGCTCTGTAAGAAAGTGGGGAGGCATTTTGTCCTTCTCCCACACCAGAGTTGGAGCGTGGGGTAGGAGAAAGTATCCTGACACATCTAGTTCCAAGGCTGATCGTAGGAATATGGTACATATTTTTGAGAGAAGGTCAGCATTTTCATTTAAGAATTCTAGGATGGATATCATCTGGGCTCAGTGATTTATTAACTTTCTATTTGCCAGCAAGACTGAACATGTCATCTTTTGTCACCACTATCTGTATTAATTCTCCTGAAAACATCAGCTTAGGCACAGACATCTGTCCTGTACTTTCTGCAGTGAAGACAGATTAAAATAATTCATTCAACTTCTCTGCAATCTCCTTATCCTCCTTTAGTGCTCCCTTAACTCCATTATCAGCCAGTGTCTGTACTTTCTAGCTGGTTTCCCGCTTTTTATATATTCAAATAATTCTTTGTTGATGGCTTTGATGTTCTTAGTGACATACTCCTCAAAATGATTTTTGCCTCTTGTCCTCTTGCATTTTGTGTGAGTTTGTGCTCCCTTTTGTTTTCTTCATTTGGGTAAGACTTTCATTTTTTGAAGGAAGACTTCTTGTCTCTAATACTTGCAGTATTGCTCATTAACTTCTTGGACTTTTGCTATTTTTTTAACTTGAGGTATATAGTATTTATTTATTTAGAATTATAGTATACTATCTGAGCGTCTGTTGTGGTGGTTTTGTATAATAGCCAAGCATTTTGAAGTTCTTTAACTATCTTGACTCCTCTTCCAGTTTCCTTTTTACCAGTTTTTTCATTTTTTGAAGTCAAATGTTACTATGTTGGACCTCTTTGGCAAATTTGACCTCAGTGAAATGTCAATTAGATCTGACAGTGCTGAGGTTAGTGTTACAAATCAATAACATTTACAATTCATACTAGGTCATGAACAACCTCATCTAGGATTAAATCCAGGGTTGCCAGGGCACAGTCATTTAGGTCTGAGAAATTTAATCAGAAGCAAAATGTGCATTTATCCAGTTGATGCAGGGATAATTGAAGTCCCTCATTATTGCAATGTTTCTGTGTTTGTTTTTGAGGTTTTTACATCTCAAGATTACTCTGAGCATTCTGATCTGGAGGACAATAGTGTGTTTCTAGGACTAAATTAGTTTTGGAACTAAGTATTGTCATCCACCATACCTCCATAGAGGAGTTTGCACTTTTTAGATTTTCAAGTCTGTGTGTAGGTTCCTGTCATCCAACCCAATGAGATGCACATTGGAGAGGACTCCCAAATGAGACTGCAAACCTTGCCTTGTTTGGGGGTGTTTGGAATCCACCTCCACTGCCCACCCTTGCCAGGTTTGGGTGGCACAGCAATTTGCAACCAGCATTGCGAATTATGGAAATGAGATATCTTGTGCAGGATGGGGAAAGGAAGCCACTGTGGCTTCTTCTTTGATCATGCAAACCCAGACATTGTGTGTGGAAGGCAGTCTAGGCAGTTCCTAGATATTTAAAGAAAAATTAAATTTTTGAAGAAATATGCACCATATATTTAACCTGGTGTGACATTGTGTTCTGTTTCAGAACTCTCAAGACTTGGTGGATGCTTCAGAACACCATGTTCTCATACATACTATGTTCATAGCATTTAATTTTTCCCCTTTCCTTACAGATTTTGCTACTAACCAATGTCAGGAGATAGTGATGGCACCATTAGAAGTCCCTCTGAGGGATCGCTCTCGGGAATTGAGGTTCTTCCAGATCAGCCAAAGTATGTGTGCACACTTTCTGCTGAGCTTGTTGCCAAGGCACGTGAAGAGCTGCAGGAAAAACCTGAATGGCGGCTTCGAGATGTTCAGGCCCTCAGAGACATGGTGTGCAAAGACTATCCTAACCTGGGCACATGTCTAGATGATGCTTTCTTACTTCGGTTTCTTCGAGCCAGGAAATTCGATTATGATAGGGCACTTCAGCTTCTTGTGAACTACCACTGCTGTAGGAGGAGCTGGCCTGAGGTCTTTACCAACCTGAAACCATCTGCCATACAAGATGTCTTGGAATCTGGTTTTGTCACTGTGCTGTCTCATTTAGACACTGAAGGACGCCATGTTGTCTGCATTCGTCCAGGTATGATTAACTGTCCAGGATGGAATTGATTGTCTTTTTTGTACCTTGTATTGCCTACCTGTACAGTTAGAGTTCATATAGATTGTTTATTTCATGCAGGTATATTTTGCTCTGGTTCTGCTAATCAATATTACAACTTCTCTAGCCTGCTCTCTTAACTAAATTTGGTTAGAGAAGACAGTTTGGCTTTAAAATGCCCCTGGAAACTTATATGTTAAAACACATTGGATTAATACAATCCTCCCCTTGCTTCCCTCCCCTTCCTTAAATAATAAACCAATACATATTTATAAGGCTGTAAGCTTGCCTTCTCCTTCTCAGAACATATGCCCTCTGTTTGGCATCAGAGATTCAAGAATATGATGTTTGAAAACATCTTATATAAACAATGGCCTATCCTTCATGAAGGAATATACATTTTTCTTAAGTAGAAACTAATGTAGATTAGGACAAAGTGTTAAAGGATGGCTAATAATTATAAGGCAAATAACATTCATACTTGGGAATATATTGTTGGTTTTCTGTTCAGCTTTGTAACTTACCATCTCTGTCTTATAACCATAGACAGATGGACACCAAGTAACTACCCGATTACTGAAAATATTCGTGCCATATACTTAACATTAGAAAAGCTCATTCAGTCTGAGGAGACCCAGGTGAATGGAATTGTAATCCTTGCAGACTACAAAGGAGTCAGCTTATCTAAGGCGTCTCATTTTGGTCCTTTTATAGCCAAAAAAGTGATTGGAATTCTTCAGGTAAGATCTGACTTGGTAGAAGGAGAAAATAATTGTACAATGTAAACTACTGCTTCTTCCTAATTGTTGCCTCTCAGTGGTCCTGATGTTTGGGTGTACTTGGAAGTGAGTACCATTGAATTCATTGGGGTTCACCCCACTTAAGTAGATGCAGCATCGTATCCTTAGTTCAGGAAAACTAAGTGCAACTTGAATAAATGTCCAATAAAGGAAATGGAGAAGCTGCACAAATGGTGACAAAATAAAGAAGGGGTACTGAAGATTTTCTTAGAGGAGCTGATGAAGATAGGAAGGGACTGCTTGAAACTTAGATGAAAGAGACAAAATCGTGATATGTAAGGAGTGATCTTATCCGAAAACTTGATTGATTAGAGGATAAACCTGCTACTATATACCAGTCATGACTAGAAGCTATTACCTCTAGTATAACAGTCACTCTGTCTCTGCACACCAGTTACTCGGGAACATTCCCATGGAAATCTGGACAAGGTAGGAACAGAATGCTGTACTAGATAGCATACTGATCCCGCATAGCTGACTTTTGGTTTTTATACTGAATGGGGAATATGTTGATTTTTAAAAAGTTAAGCATTTTTTCACTATAAGATGATTTGTTTTAAACTGATGCAGACTTTAATTGCATTCTCTCTATGATTGTTCCGTAGATGAGTCAGCATGCAGTTAGTAATCTAATAATTCATGTACTGGATGAAAAACTAAACAGGGTGAAACAGTTATTTTGTATCTAAAATAATGTCTTACTTAATCAAGTTTGTTTGCATTTATAATGTAAAGCAAAGAACTATAGAAATATGCATGGCTTCATCTGAACAAGCGGTTAAAGCATATAGCATCAGTTGTAAATTCATTAATGATGTGGAGGATTTCTACTATTTTTCTCATTTTTTAAAAAAAGTATTCAAGTTTCTAGTTCAGTATTACATAGAAAATGGAGAAGCTCTAGATAGGGATCCTGATCAGAGAACCACTCCTGTTAAATACAGTAAGATAAGTCAAGACAAGATTAAATTCAGGAATTTACCTTTTTCTGAGCAAAGTGTGAAACATAACAACACCCATACATTATTGAAAGCTCTGAGAAAGATTTGATAATTTTGGTAATGGGTTTAAAGCAATATGGTCTGTTTAACCGAAGGAAATAAAGCCTTAAGGAGAAAAGCCTTATGCTGAAATGAAAGATGTATGTTACTGTTGGCTCAGGTAGTAGAAACAGAATGTCCAATAAATTTATAAGCAAGTTGCTTCATATTGGCTATGACTGAACTTTTGTCTGGCAGAATGCAAGCATAGCATCATTTGCCAGCAGATGTTGACAAGTTATTCTTCCATCTATAAAGCTGCTGACTTCCTGCATTTCAATTTTCTCTAATTTGACTGGTTAAAAGCCACCCACCCTGCCACACATGCATATTTATATTAATCTGCTAGCATGTTTCCAAGCCCAATTTAAAATGTGGTTTCAATCAAAGCCTTAAATGAGTTAGTACCGAATCACATGGAAAACTGCCTTTTCTCAAACTAACCTTTTGGCACTTTTAAGATCAACAGGGGAGGTTGTTCTCATTTGCCCGAGTTCCAGAGACAGTTAGTGGCGGGAGGGGAAATGAGAAGAGGACTTTTCTGCAACGGCCCATGAATTATATCTTACTGGATTCCAAGTAGAATCATATGTTGAAGGTTTGCCTGTCATTATTTGTAATGTTTGTTGTTTTTATTACAGCATCAGTTTTTATTATTGTAATAATAATACAATTATTATTGCACACTTGCAAATGTTATTGTACACTTCCTTGGGGATGCTGCTGCTGAGAAGTGGGACAACCATGTTCAGAAAGGCAGCCAAGAACCACCTTAAATACTTACAGTAGGCCCATAGAAATCAATGGGACAAAAGACAGTTGTGACTAATGTAAATCTCATTGATATCAGTGGGCCTGCTTTAAGTATGGGTCCAATGAATTGCATGTATAGAACACTGTGGTTATTGGATGGTAAAACTGTTATTAGTAAGTACAGGTACATGCGGCAGACATTCTGGCCAGTTATTGTGTATTTTACTTCATGCATTGTTCAGGTTTTACTATGAGAATGGCAAGGCACTTACAAAAGTTCATCAGGTAGTGTAGTGAACTTTGCCAGTTTCAAAAAGCCAATATGATTTTTTGAAAGCTTGCCAAAGTCTCATGAACTTCTGCTTGTTAAAAGAGCTCCAGAGATACTGGCCTTGAAGCTGCCTTTCCTGTTAATTCTGTAGAGGACTGTCTTTGCAGTGAGAATGAGTTGTTCAGTATACCAAATCTGCTTCATTCCCAGGAATGGGTAGGGAGCCCAGATGCATCCTAACAGGCTGTGCAATAGTGCAAAAGAAACCTGTATAAAATCCACTTTAAAAAGCATTGTCTCTCATTCTTGGCTGTGAGGATGAATTGATGCATGGCCCACCCAGACATCTTTGGAGGCCTGCAGAGTGCCCTTAGTGTATTCAGGGAACCAGTAGGCCGCAAAGAAGAGTGTAACATTTCTTTTGTTTGTTAATCATCTGCATCATCGTTCATCATTGTATTTAATACACTCCATATCATCTTTGATATCTGTGGTTTTGTGTCTAAGTATTCTTAAGAATACTAAAGTAGGGTGCATTGGCTGGACCAGGGCACCATGGCCAGAACACAGTAATAGTTTAATGCTAAATTAATTGGCACTTGTCAATGTAGCTAGCCATTAAATACTGCTTTTATCATCCTAATCCTGAAATCCACTATGGATGCCACAGTAGTTCACAGACTAGGATAAGTAGCAGCAGTGTGTTTATATACCTGCCAACTCAGGATAACACTGATGTATCTGTTGAAATGAACTGTAGTCTAAGAAAGTTTATGTCATTATAAATATGCTAGTCTTTAAAGTACCACATAATACCTTTTTGTTATTTCTGCAACAGGCTAACATAGGTACTGTTCTGAAAACAGAGGGTCAAAATCTGGCTTAATATGTGTGGTTTATCTTTAGAATTGTTTTTAAATTGTTCAATTTAAAATGGAAGGGTTGTTGTTTTTTTTACATTTTAAGAGATACATCTTCTCTTACAGTATTCATTCTACTTAAGTATACAATCCTATGCTTGCTTTGGCATTGAAAGGAGCTACAATTCCTACCATCCCCCAGCATGGTTGGCTGGGGCATGCTGGGAGTGGTAGGCCTTTTCTTTATTTAAGCATTCACAGGATTGCATCCTTAAGTTCCACGTTCGCATGGTGCTCCCTACAGTTTACTGATCAGGTTATGGCCAGTACCTGATTTATCAGATTCAATTTGTTTCAGAAACATCAGTGTGTGTGTTTAAAGCTTCCAAAGTTTACCTTGTGGTTTCCTTTCCATTAAAGGAGGAATGCATTCTTTGGACATGATGGGTTTACTAAAAATCTCTTGATACTCCTCAGGAATACACACCTGCCTACACTTCTTTTTGTAACAAACTGTTTCTGCCCAACTAGGACTTTATATTTCAGAAGAAATTACCCTTCTCCCACTGAAATTAGTTTTCTTTTGAAAACTGATAGTTATATATTTGAACTGCATAATCCTTATTGGCATTCTTTTTTGTGTTTAGGATGGTTTTCCTATTAGAATAAAAGCTGTCAATATCATCAATGAACCTCGCATATTCAAGGGCATTTTTGCCATCATTAAACCTTTTCTGAAAGAGAAAATAGCAAATCGGGTGAGTAGTCGTTATGTAGCCATAATAGAACTATACTAGTGACTTGTTGGAAGGCTTCTTTTTTCCAAATGCTTGGGTTGCATCTGGTTGGCTAGTGTAGGTAAGAGGTTGTTGGACTAATTAGTTCTTTGAGTTCTTTGATCCAGCCCAGTGTTCTCATATCCTTAAGTGATGCTTTTGGGGAAGTAATAAGCACTTTGCTAACTAAACTCAACTTGAGGGACTATGCATGGTTTGCATGGTACTCTGAATTACTAAGATTTGGACCTTGCTTCCACTTTAAACACTGCCAGAGAAGAGTAACTTACAGCTTTAACACTGGATAGCTTCAGATGTTTTTGGAAACTTTGGGAACACAGATTATTGACTGTGCATCTAGTTTTGTTTTTAAGTTATTTCCTTAGTCATGGGTGCCATTGCTTATATTATTCAGGGCAGTGTGGTCAAGATTGCAAATAGACTGCTGTTCGGTCTTATGGATCAGTTTTCACTTTGTAAAAGTAAGCAGTCTCATACCTTGACTGATGAACTGTGAGCTATTTCTTTTTGAGAGGATAAGTATCTGCCATAGAGTGCTACACAAAAAGCTGGAAGGAACTCTTTCTCTCTGTTCTTTCCACTTGCTTGACAACATGGGGTAATCACGCTTTTGCAGCTTTCTGTGGTCATAGTATGAGTTTGGTGGCTACAGGGAAGCAAGTTCTTTTGGAAATTATGAATTCTAGCGCCCAATAAAGTATATTTAGGATTATAGTGTAGTATGCAATATTGCTTCAGATCATCTGTCACCTTTAAAGTTAGTTGAAGAAAAAGGAGTCCGCTTATAGCTCTTCTGCAATAATTGTCAGCTAAATACAGAATTTGTTCAATGGTTTTTGTGATGACCCGCTTGGGGTTCACTTCATCCCAAGTTATTCAAGACTTCTTCCCCCTTCAGAACTCCTCACCCCATTTTATCCACCGGCTACTTAGATATTTGTTTAGGTAACACGGCAATGCTGTTTTGCTTAGCTTTGGTTCCCTTTCCACCATGAAGCTAGCCACCAGGGGGTGCAACTGCTGTAAGAAGCCAACAACAAAGATGAATATCAGTCATCTTTGCTTCTCTATACCTTTCACCATATTAGTGTCTTTTTGTCCTTTCTTATAAGTAGAGAGCCATATCACCTCTCTACTTTTCAGCTTCTTTTCTCTGTCTGCTCCCCCCCTTTCTCTTTTGTAGCATAATGCTGGCAAATCTGAATGTTTTGGAAATTTTATATTCCTCCCCATCTCCTTAGATCAGTGATGGTGAAACTTTGAGAGACCGAGTGCCCAAACTGCAAACCCACTTATTTGAGAGACCGAGTGCCCAAAACCCACTTATTTATCGCTAAGTGTCGACACTACAATAACACCTGAAAACTGAGGTTTTTTAGAAAAAACAACTCACAGCCAGTCCAAGCAAATGTGTGTGTGTGTGTGTATATATATACTTGGCAGCGCATTGTCCAGCCATGGGAAAACTCAGACGAGTCATGGCTAATGAGTCATGGCTTGTGACGTCATTGCCTGGCGCCGTAACTCCTTTCCAAGCATGCGCATGGCCCCTGTGTGTGCTGTTATCTGATGCTCGGCTCCTGGGGCGATGCTGGCATGACTTGGCTTGTGTGCCAACAGAGAGGGCTCTGTGTTCCTGCTGCGGCATGCATGACATAGGTTCACCACCACTGCCCTAACCCTACCCTGAAGCACTCCCCTAACCCTAATATAGGGCAAAAGTTTCATTGAAAAGAGTGCGATTTTGAAAAAGCCTTCCTTGAGTAGCCTTTTCTACACTGCTCATCATTTCTGCCCATTCCACATTCCAACCATCAAAATCATGCCAGGAGACCTCATTTTTCTAACCCTAACCCTTCCCTGGTGCACACTCCTAACCCTAGTATAGGGCTATATTTCCATTGAAAAAAGTGCAATTTTGAAAAAGCCTTCTTTGAGCAGCTTTTTCTGCACAGCTCAACATTTTTGCCCATTCTAAACACGTTCCAACCATCAAAATTATACCAGCATACCTCATTTTTCTAACCCTAACCCAGTGATGGTGAACCTTTTAGAGACTGAGTGCCTAAACTGCAACAGAAACCCACTTATTTATTGCAAAGTGCCAACACTGCAATAAAACCTGAAAACTGAGGTTTTAATTTAGAAAAAAACAACTCACAGCCAGTCCAAGCAAATATATATATCTTTGGCAGCGCACTGACTGGCCATGTGAAAGCTCGGACGAATCGCGGCTAAAGAGCCGTGGCTTGTGACATCATCGCCTGGCACTGCTACTCCAAGGATGTGCATGGCCCCTATGTGCGCTGTCATCCGATGCCCGGCTGCTGGGGCAACTTGGCTCACGTGCCGACAGAGGGCTCTGTGTGCCCGCTGTGGCACATGTGCCATAGGTTCGCCACCACTGCCTTTGATTTACCATATTCAGCTTGTGGATTGATCAAGCCCTGAGCTGCTTGCCCAGCCATCATCCCATAGAAGTCATCCGTCTATTTATACATACATGGGCTTGCTCAGGAATAGACAACATAACTGCTATAAGGCTTCTTATGGTAGTTGAAATAAGTCATGCCTTTAAATATGCAATAAGGGTTTTAAGTCTGGAAACTGTGGAACTGGTTACAATCAGTCCTTTAAGTCCCAAGGAGAAATATATCAGCCTGGCCTGTAAAGTTGCTACTGTCACTTGGACTTGTGGACAAAAACCTTCTGAAACTAAGACATTGTTTGCTTGTTATAAAAATATTGATTTGAATTGAATTATCTGTATGGTTGAACTGTCTGAATTTTTCTTCTTCAGTTTTTCCTTCATGGCTCAGATCTGAGTTCTCTTCATCAGAATCTTCCACCGAGGATCCTCCCTGAAGAATATGGAGGCACTGCAGGGAAGCTAGATATTTCTACATGGAATGAGTTATTGCTGGCCTCAGAGGATGACTTTCTGTATGATGTCTCTCATCTGGCTCTTTCCAATGACTGTTCACCTCATGACCCACTGATGAGTGCAGAGATTGATGAGAAGCAATGTGATGACTCTTTGCGAAGTTTGAAAACACAGCTTTACTCTTGTTATTAGAATGCCAGTGAAAGCTTCTGAAAGGTCACCTTCTTGTTCGCAAAGAGATTAGGAACTCTGCCTTGTTCCCAGGGCTGTAGACTACGTGGAGAGACATCTGAGGCACTTTACATTGGAACCAAAGTAAATTGAAAGTAGAAGCCATGGAGATAGGTGAAGTTGTGTGAGAATCTATCAGATGGGTGCACTTGGGAACAGCTTGAATATTTTGTGGTTTATTAACCCTTTACAAAAGCAGCATCCCTCTGAGATTAAATGTCACACTTGAATGGGAATAAAGGAACATTGCCAACACCAAACTCCTAAGCATAGTTACTTGAAAGTAAGTTGCATTAAAATTAATGAGATTTGCTTTCAAATAAACAAGTTTAGGATGAGAGTACTAAATGAGTCTTTCCCAACCAGGTGCCCTCCAGAAATTTTGGCCTCTTCCTCCCAGGCATCCTAACTACAGGACATGCTCCTTGCAACTGATGGGAGTAGAAGTCTGTCTACTTCATCTGGATGGCACCAGGTAGGGGAAGGTTTCCTTTGATTCTCTCAGGCAGGAAGAGGCCAAACTGGATTATAAACTTGACAGTGCAAAATATAATAGTGGATCATGCTGTCCTTTTCTGTGGAAAAAGGAACAAATGTCATGAACTGTGAGATAAAGAATAGTAAGACTATTTTATGGCAGATAAGCTTCTAGTCCAAGAGATACCTTTTTGGTTGTAATCTTGATTCTTTTATATATTGGTTATTGCTATCCTTAACATTAATTTCCGCTACCCTCACATACAGAATTTTGTCTTCTGTAGAAAGTGTTACTACTGATGTAGAAAACCTTTGACTTGAAATTTGCAGGAGGTGGCTAGTGCAGTAGTAGTTTGTCATTAAAGGTCAGTGAAAGCCCATGCTCATTCTGCCTCCCAGAGTATCAAAAGTCTCTGAATCTCTTTTACACCATACTTGAACTTGTTCGCCAGAGAGGACTAAAAAAAAATGGACATACATAATTTTGTATAATTCAGTTGTTGGTTAATACCTTGCTTTATTTAAAACAGGTCTGGTGTAGGGGAATACAGAAATCAGCTAGCTGTAGATGTCTGTTAAGTAAAGGAAAGATGCTTGTTGAGGTATCTTTATTTTTGGGAAGTAGAGTTTTTGAATTGTTTCCATAAACCAAATGTAGACAGGGTATTTTACAAGCACAATATCTGGTTTGTAAATGTTTTAAAAAATTCCCCGTTCGGTGTGGTGTTTGGTCACTTGGACCGCAGTGCTGTTTTGACCTTGGCTTGCTATGCAAAGGTCACTTTCAGTCTTGTCTGTAGTGTCACCCTTTTTAATAGAAGTGCTTAGGTCTTCCTTAACTGGTAGCTTAACTTTCATAAGAAGTGTGTTCTCTCTCTTAGTTACATAGTAAGCTGTTATTTTATCATCTTGAGTTAAAAACCTTAAACCATTCTTCACATTTTACTACAGGATGAAATGGGTCTGGACCCCTGCTAGATGTTCAGTGTGTATGGGGCAGCAGGTCAACTTACTATCACCTCATCTAATAGCACTTTTGTGGAAGTTCTTACTTAGTGCCAACTAAGACCAGACACTGGTGCTTATTGTAAATATGGAATAGGGTCTTCAATAGGTAGACCATTGTATTGTTGGTGCCAAACTTGTATTTTTCTAAACCATATAACCACTTGCCTCTGTATTACCAAAAGCTGAGGCAATTTTGTCAGTGCTGCTTTGCTTAACCTAGAATTCTCCTTTTGAGTATATATATGTGGTATGTTAAATGCCAAACCAGGCCATGGAATTTGTTTTGCTGTGAAGTACAGCAGATTTTATCTCTTAGAGTTCCCTTATATTCAGACTTCTCCTACATTGATATGTAATGCAAATTGCTTTTTCTTATGCGAGTCAGCGGGGCCAGGTACACAGGTCTGCCGACCTGTGCATACAAGGAAGTAGACTTGTTAATTACATGAAAGCAAAAAATATGTGGAATGATATATATCTTTTCTTCTACTGGAAGCGATATCCATTTATTAAAAAGTGGACTTGAGTATGGAGGCTATAACTGAACTAACATATGAGGTTTACGTGATAGCCTAGAAATCATGATGGTTTTATCCTGCAACTTCCCACCTAAATGTGGGACTTTATGCAGAAACTATTTTGAACAGACCTTAGGTATTGTTTTCTTTGAGTAGCAGACTTCAGATACTACTGAATGCCAACATTTGTTATTTTGCAGAAAAAGTTATAAGCCAAAAACATTTTATATTACCTCTTCCATGGTGATGGAACTTGACATCATTCCTCAAAAATCTCTTATGCAGAAGTTCAAAAAATAAAACACTTGACCTCTGTTAAGGCTTATATATGGAAATATGTTGGGACTTCCCACAAATTTTATTCTGGTCCAGTTCTGGTTTATGTTTTCTCTTTCCTTGCATTCTTCATATTATTCCATGTAATTGGAATAACCAAATTCGTAATGCTTGTAGAGATAGTATTTCCTCCTAAAAGAAGCATACTCTAAACTGACCCCTCTCACATCCCACAGTGGCACCTCTGACATAGTGAAGACTTTACAAAAAACTAAGTTTGTTAGTTTGCTTCAGAGGTGTTGGGACAAATGGGCAAGGAAGTAGGATAGCATAAAAATTTAAATGTTAGAAGTGGAGAGGGAAATTTATGATAGCGTATGCTGAGTCTTTACCCATGAAGATTCTTTGGCAGTATTGATACTTCTAAAAAGAATCATTCCAAGCAGAGGAGTACCTGGCCTTGAGCAAGACACATTGGTAACTTACCACAATTTTCAAATTGCCTTTTTCAACATCATAGGAAGCAGGAAAATGGTTACCATAAATACTTGAATTTATACTGTGGGCTGAACAAGCATCTGTAAAGTCTGAGCTTTTTTCAGAGGATGGGTGAAGTGCTTTGTTGCTACTGTTCAAGCTGTTTTGGCATTTGTCACTAATTGTTTCATATGAATTTGTTTTGCCTTTTACTGTATGTAGAATTCAGGTGTTTGGTTAAAGTATACACCTTTGGGGGTTTATTTTTATATTGCACTTTATAAAATGAATTGTTTAAGTGTAACTTTATGCATGAGCAGATATTAAACAATCCTACTTTAAAACAGCCTCTGTTCTTTTGAAGAAAACATTTGATGCTCCTTTCTGATGTATATTCCAAGAGTGTTAGTAAGCCCAATTTAAAACTTTTTCCACTGTGCTTTTGGAAGGTGATACAAGGAATCCTAGTAAGAGCCTAACTAAATATGTGATTGTATTTCATGTTTAATTTTTGATAGAAACTCCTGCTTCATAAGGATAGCATTGAGAAGAGCAAAAAGATTATATTCCCTCCTTCCATTAGCTGCAAACCTTATTGGCACTAATATGGGGCATTTTACAAAAAACCCAATCATACCTTTCTAGCTGGGCCCTAAGATTTTCATTCCTGACGTGGACTGATTTTTCTGAACAGCTGTTAAATGTAAGACTGTCTGTAGTATTTCTGTTCCTAGAAATGAAATGGAAAATGACACAGAAGACTTTTAATAAAATGTTTTTATAGTGCAAATATTAAATGCCAGGATGGAGAAAGTGATGTACTGGCTTTTACAAGCATTGGTCATACTAGAAAACAGCACTTCAGTACTTAATTTCAAGAACTTGCTTAAAGCATATTTAAACACTAAGAAATTAATTAGCAAATGCTAATGTTTGCAACAGTATTTTGTATAAAATTTGCCTTGTGCAGTGATCTAAAAGCTACTAATTTTCATTTAATGCACTACATTTAACATGCTGTTCTCTACTGAGAAAAGCAAATTTTATCCATTAAAAAAGTGCCACTGGATAGATTTTCCAGATGTGGAATGCAGACTTGTAGTATGGCTTTCATTTCCATATACTGAAGCATCAGAACTTTAAAATATATTACTTTCAGCTTAATTAAGCTTTCTTCTAAGTGTGTGGTGTTTACACAACAGGCTTTTAACAAAACTTTCAACAGCACAGCTGTAGTAGATTAATAGTAAAGCTAGCTTTGAATTAAATGGATCAAAATGTACATACTGTAGATCTTGCATCAAGCATTATACAAGTTAGCTTTCTATTCATCTGTATGTTACAGGAGAGATGGCTGGAGCCTTGACTCCAAGAAGCAATACAGAACATTTGGCTTTCAACAGAGCACAACGTCATATTTTCATGCTTTCAGGGAAGTTATCATTTAACTGAAGTCCCGATTGGTAAGGATAAGAGGTGCCACTAAAGTCCAGACGTAAAGGAGGAGACAGACCCAGCTTGAGGAGATCTTCACCCAAACAGCTGGCCACTTGCTTGTCAGTGTTTTGGTTTCAGCATCAGGACTGTACAAGTGAATAAAAAGTGATAAGTGAACCCTACCAGAACTGGAAAGTTTCAGAGTGTTAAGACTAAGCACAGGAAAGACAGGATTTTCCTAGAAACCTGCCCCCTTGACTTGGACTGACGCTGCTATCTAACATGATGTGGAAGTTTTCCTTATTTCCCATAGCTGTACCTGGCTTCTCCACTGCATGCAAAACAGAAACAAATGCCTTGCAGGAAAGTGGGGAAGCTTGGACCCTCAAGATGTTGGTGGGCTACAATTCCCATCAGCTCTAGCCAATATAACCAATGGTGAACAATGATGGAAAGTGAACTGAAATATCTGGAGGGGCACATGTTTGAAAGCCTCTGGCCTACAGCTTTATTATTTTGGGGAAATTGGTAGGTGTGATAGCCACCTTCTGGAAGGGAAGCCATGGTTCAGACACATCAGTATGGAAGTTTTTGTGCTCAGTATCAACATTCTTTAAAAAAAATCTGGATGGAGATCTTTTTACTACAAGGCCACTAGCCCACAGGAACTAGAAGGGAGGATTTGTCTCCCTCTAGGCTCCCTGCCCAGGCTTTAATGAGTAACAGCTGCAGCCAGTTCACAGTGCTACCTCATGCACTCTGTTATCAGCCTCAGCCCAATCCAGCAGGCTCCATGCCAGTCCTCTTTTTGGGGAAGGCTGAGGATAGGGAGAGAGACTGTTGACAGGAGGTACTCAATTAGCCACTATCTCAAAGGCCTTCGTTTGGGAAAGACAGTGTAACCACTGGTCATAGGCATACACTATTTGGCTGTAACGCTTGTAAGGGGCTAGTGTGAGAATATTCTACTCTCAGAGATTCCAAACATAATTTCCTTTTAACTCCAACAATCCTACAAAGCTGGGAGGTAAATCTTGATAAATGTACCACTACACACACCTCCCCACTAAGGGTTATCTTTAGCTCTGGACAAATATAAGGCTGATACACATATTCTTCTTTTACAGAGTCTCTTTCATACTACTAAAGCAAAAAAAGGGGGGGTTCTGATTTTCAAATGGTGGCAGCATAGAAGAGCATGCATTATTAGCCACACAGTCACCAAGTGACTTTAGAAAACCTCCCTGCACTAAGACAGGTAGAAAGGATTGGCCCTAACCATTAGGAGGATAATAATGTATGTGGAGTACTTTGAGAGCTTACAAAAAGTAATCTAACAATAATAATCAAAAATTTCCTTTGCATCTCTGGAAGGGCTCCTCTCTGGAACCCTGGAAAGCCACTGGGTGTCATCACAAGAACTATTCAGATATACAGAATCTGGTCTGTCTAAGGCAGCTTCCCCTGTTCCTAATTTTTTAGTTAAGTAAAAATACAGCACTACTTAGCATCCATAAACATTTCCACCACTTGAGCAATAGTGACAATGTAAGAATTGGTGACTCAAATCTCCACTAGAGTATTCTCACCTGTACCAGTTGGTTAGAGTCATCATGATATAAAGGGAGGCAAGAAATAACATGAAGTGGAAGAAAGTATAGCTATACTGGACACCATCCTTCTCATTGTCCAAGACCCGCCTGGGTTCCCCATCCTCTGCATCACCAGCAGCAGCACCAGAAGCATCATCCAGAATGACACTGTCACTTGCAGACAGAGTCAGTTTGTTCACTTGGCTGTAGTTCGAAGAACGGATGCTGCAAAAGAGTGTTTTAAAATGTCAAAATAACTGCAAGTTGCCACTAATCAGAGAGTTCTGTAGTCTTATTATAGATGTTCAATAATTCCTTCAGTCTCCATTTGGACCTGAGAGCACACACAGTAATTCTAGTGCCAATGTTAAGCCAACAATGCCATGCAAGCTGCTTGTTAGTAATACTCCAGGAAGCTATACCTGAGCTTTGAAAATTGGTTACATTTAACATGCTCAGAATGAATATTTCCTTTTTACAATCGCTGCAAATTATAATCAAGCTAGTAATATTGCTTTATCAGCTAAAATCAGTTGTGGCTGGAAAACTAGCCCTTTGCATAACAATGAATCACTAGCCTTGGAAGGGTTCAATATGCATGGAGTTCACTTACAATTTTAAGAATAGGTCAAACATATCAATGCAGTTAGCACTTTTTTGTTTCAGCAATTCTTCAAATGTATATAAGTAACCTTACATTCACTTAAAAAACTTACATTTTCCTTGATTTAAAAACAGAGAAAACATAACATATTCATTATGCTAAATGCAAGAGACTATTTTGCCAAGTCAAAAGGGCTTTGTCATGAATCTGACATCTTACCTGGAGTACAAGAGACAAAGTACAAAGATAATAAGCCCAACAATGCTCTGAGCATCCCACCACTGTGGGGATTTTTGTGGTGTAGGAGTAGGAAGAAGAGGGACATCAGTTGCATTGACTGAGATAGCAGTAGGTGAAGCTATTTGGGTGATGATGTTCAGAAGGCTCGGGTTGCAGCTACGATCTGGAAAATGAGTTTTAAAGTTCAAACACACACAAAAACTGTCCGTTTCAATAACTGTCAGGAAAGCTTGCTGTTGAGATTCTGAAGATAGTACCAGATATTTGTCATTCTGAAGACCCTCAAAAAAGAGGCCAAAGTATTTGTTTAAAATCCCCTTATACTATTAAGACAGGAGTTTGTGATTTCTGAGGAAAGTACAAAAGTGGAGAAGACAATCCAATGGACTGTGCTACCTTTGTACAAACTGTACATCCTCTTTGAAGCCTGTATTGCCCCAATTCCCAATACACTTTAAAGATTCAGTATATTTTTTTCTTTAGACGTTACTTCCCCAACCATTATTATTTGCAGTGATGATCTGCACTTATACACACTTACCTGGCTCATTAGACATGGCTGACCAAGTGAGATACATGGTATAGAGAGTAATGACAGATGACTGGAGAAGGCCAGAACGAGGCTGATGTTCCTGTTTGAGACAAGCAATTTTTAGTAAAATGAATGAATTTAATCTAAACGAGGCAGGTAGCTTGTTGGTCTAACATTAAAAGCCTTGACTGGAATATTTCAATTCTGCTAGCTAAATCTGTGTAAAAGGGACACTACTGAGGCTGAACAGAGACACAAGCACTATTTGGTGGATTGATGGGCGATATTTCAACCTCCCCAGGCAAGAGTCACTCTAGCCATGCTTCCCCTCAACTCACACATATTGACTGGATACATTTTAGCACAACCTCCAAATGGTTCTTTCAAGTTTCCCAAATCTATTTTCCTTTCATCTAGTCATTCACAACCCTCACAATGGTCCAGAAATGCTGCTATATAGCCAGACAGATCCTCCCTTGCAAGCACAAAATAGCATCTTACCAAAGGTGACCATACATCATCTGTTTTACTAAAAGTTATACTAAAGCTCAATTACTCGTAATTCTGGCATCGAAGCAGTGCGTTACATGACCATCATACCCTCCAACAATATTAAGAACTATTATAAATTAAGCAGCTTTACAGAACATAAATCCACCTACTGTTAAGTGTTGGCGGGAAAAATATTTATTATTTAAAATATTTATACCCCATTCAATAGCCAGCGGCTCTCCAAAATGGTTCACAAAGAATTAAATATCTGCAGAACACCCATAGCTAAAACATTTACATAAATACCCAAATAAATAGTAATACCAGTAGACTCTTTAGGCCTGACATATAAACCTTGTCTACACACATTATATGCGTAACAGACAAGCCCAGGGGCAACAGAAAACCAGAATTAAAACTATGTAAGATACAACAGAGACCTAAAACCTAATTCTTTTTACGTTGGGAAAATAAAATGGTTTTTGCCTGGCACCAAAAAGAGTTGGTACCAGGAGCACCTCTTTGAGGAGCTGATTCCATAAATGGGGCACCATAGCTGCAAAGGATCTTTCCCTTGTTCCCACCCTCCTCACATCCTTTAGAGGGGGCTATTGGAGGAGGACTTCTGAAGATGATCTTAGTGCGTGGGCAGACCTATATGTAAGGAGGCATTCCTTCAGATATTCTGGTCCCAAACCATTTAGAGGCTTTATATGTTAGCATCCTGAATCAGGCTCAGACTTACTGGTAACCAATGCAAATGGTACAGCACTGGGGCAGTATGTTCTTGCCTCCCAGTCCCTGTTAGCAGCCTCGCTACTCTATTTTGAACCAACACTGAACCAAGTCTCCGAACCATTTTCAAGGGCAGCCCACACAGAGAGTGTTACAGTAGTTCAAATGAGAGGTTACCAGAGTATGGGTCACTGTTGCTCTGTGGGCTCTGCCTGTCCAGGTAGGGACACAGTTGATATATCAGCCATGCTAAAAGAAGGTGCTCCATGCCACAGTGTCAACTTGGGCCTCCAAAGAGAACTCGATCAAGGAACACCCGAAACTATAAACCTTGCCCTTTAGGGGGAAGGTGACCCCATCCAGGGCAGGTTGCATATTCCTCATCCAGACAAACAATCTGTCTACCAACAACACCTCAATCTTATCTGGACTGAGCTTCAATGTACTGGTCCTCATCCAGTCAATTACCATGCATGGACACTAATTTAAATATATAGTAACTAACTAAAGCACGCTTCCCCAACCTGGCTATGTTTTGGGCTACAACTCACAGCATTCTTATCCACTGGCCAAGGTGGCTGGGGATGATGGGAATCCAAAACTTCTGGAAAGCACCAGGTTGGGAAAGAGTGATCTAAGGAGATCAGTTATCTAGCAATGCATAAGCCCAATTAATTCAGCCAAGCCTGTCCATTTGTCCCACACAACAGCCCTGTGGAAAAAGCATCCTACCTGGACTTTGGGAAGTACTGACATGATAGACACAGCAATGCACACAAGCATATTGAAGCTGATAAAAAATTTGTTCTCAATGCAACCATCAGGCTTTGTGTAGAAGACATAGAAGAGCACAATGGCAACGAATGATAGGATATAGTTGAAACCTGTGCATGACAGTAGAGCTGGAAAAAAACCACAGCGATTCCAATTACAACATGTAATCATGTATGCAATTAAATGACTCAAAGTACAGGGGAGGTTTACTAAGATTTTCAGTACCTACATTAATATTCTGACTATTTGCATGTAGAAAGATATTAGACCTTTTCCCCATGGAAAATGCTATCTCACTTACTTTGCATTAAAAATATATGGCACAAACAAATTACAAAACATATTCTTAGTTTAAATGGCTGCCTCTGCAATTTTTCAATAATCTTTCATATTTAATTTTCAGAATTGTCTTTTTGCTTTAACACACACATAGACATCTTCAATATTATCCCAGTAACAACATGAGATTAAAGAACAGTGACTACTGCTTTGCTCAGCAATGCCTGCCACTTGCAAAACCAGGATTCAAAATCACTCAGATTGTTGCAACTTCCTATGTTGCACTTAAAGCATTTCTTGCCGTAGTTATGGTACTTCAGCAGCATCATCTAGTAATGTTGTGTGGTCCCATTTCTTTTATTATATACAAATTGGTTTTGTCTACACTGCTGATGAGTTAGCTGGCCAATACACTTGACATCTAATCTGTTTCTTGCCTCTTGCTCATTTCTGTTATTCAACAGCTAAGTATCACTTACCAGCATACCAGCATCTGGAGTTCCCTTCTTCCATTCGTTCAACCCAAGATTCATTCCAGGAATGAGCAAAATCTATAAGCAGCACCAGCTGGATGAGTATGAAGCAGAAGGCACCAGCAACACCAATAGCAAATAATGCTAGAGTGGGGAAAGAATAAAAGGTTATCATCAGCCTCTAGCATCCGGCAGTCTGTGGATGAATGTATCAGAATGCAGTTGGAAAGCCATGGAGCAGCACAGACAGTACAGCCCACCCCCGCATGGCCTTGAATACAAGCCACATTACTCTTGCTGTGGTCCCCAGTAAATCCTAGCTAGCATAACCAAGGGCAAGGGGCGCTGGGAGATGAGTCCAACAACATCTGAATAACCACACCACAGTCCCCATCCTTGCCACATTGTGTATCACTCCCACCACCCACCTCACCCTTATCTGAGAGCAAAGTTAGGCTGAGATGGCAACTAGCCCAAGGTCGTCCACTCAGCTTCAGGGCCAGGTGGGGATTTGAATATGGGCCAACCTAGTCTGACACTAATTGCACCACACAGTGTCTCTCAAGATGGATAATTTTCACTTTGTAGCTATAGAATAAACTCACCTGGTGGGAAGGCGGGAGATGAGGGATGGCCATCTCTGGTATATCCAGCCATACTGAGGGCCCAGGTTTCATCCCCATGCCTCTTTCTCCCACAGGCTCATTAAAATGCAATTCAATGGCCTCAGCATCAGGCTGGACCCTACAGATAGTCAGCAATCACCATTGCTGTGGCTACTCTGTGAGGCCATCACTGTGCAACACATGCAGATCCGAATCTACTTTTATGAAATGCTTATTACATGAATATCCACATGCCTTCTTTTTTTTAAAAGCCAATGCATACTATTACAGTTCAAGAAATTATTAACCTCCTTTGTCACCCATGTGTTTACCTGTCGTGAAAGGCCCTTCTGGAATGTAAAATGCTCCAACCATGATGCCAACAATTGCAGCTATCTTGAAAAACCAAAACCTGTTTTAAACGGACAAACAAGAAGACTAAGAGATATTTGCCTACAATAAATCATCTTAAGCCAAAAATTGCTCAGGACTTTTAAGAAGAGTATCAAATAATTATTGTATTTGAATACCTGTATACAAGCATCTTTCCTGGGCTGCAATTCTATTTCCACCTACCTGGAAATAAGCACACAAGCCTGAGGTTGCCTGTGCTCCTAGTAACAAGCCAGGGTACTACATCTGAATATAGTCACCAGTCCTTAGAAACTGTGCATATCATCAAACTGCAATAAGAGAGTTACAATGGATCTCAGCAAAGTCCAAGTCAGTGTTTAATGGGAGAATGGACAAGTAAAGTTCTTAAAAAACTGGAGCTCAAAAATGGGCGGTATGTTGGACAGAAGCCAGTGTGGTATAATGGTTAAGAAGCTCAACTGGGAGTCAGGAGATCTGGGTTCTAGTTCCCATTCATGAAGCCCACTAGTGATTTTGGGCCAGTCATACTCTCTGCCTATCCTACCTCCCAGGAATGTTGTTGTGAGGGTAAAATTGAGAGGAGAACCTATTAAGTTGCTTTGGAATCCTTTCAAGAGGAAGAAAGACAGGATATAAATATAATGTAATAACAAATGCTTCATATTTATAAAAATATAAACCAGTTCAATTCTGGTTGGAGACTGGGAAAAGAATGATCAGGATACAGGTAAGGATTTTGACTGGGTGGACAGTAACTGTACTTTAGAGATTTTCCCAGCCAAAACTGGTACTGAAAGACAAAGGCAAGTCTTCAAGGGATTTCTGGATAGCACGTTTAGTCCTTAACAGAAAAAACTGTCTTTCCCTGTCCCATGAAGTCTCTGTGTTGTCTCATCTGGTTTCAAGAGGAAGCATCCTCAATTACTTCAAGAACTGGAACAAGTAAGGTATATTCACTAATTACAGAAGTTTAAGTAAAGGTTTGGAAGTAAATATATTTCTTCTATCATTAATGTCTGTATCAGCCTTTCCCAAACTGATGAGCTCCAGATATATTGGATTACAACTTCTATCAGTCCCAGGCAACATGGACAACAGCAATACAGGGGAGGAAGCTGGCCTATATAAATGCATCAGTAGAAGTCAAGTTAGTTGCTATATTTATATTTTGCCTCATGGAGGGTGTACCATACAGCCATTAAATCTCACTGAAAAAAGACATCTGTATCTCCCACCTAGACATTCAGTAAAAATGAAAAGATAAATTCAGTTGTTTACATTTCTGCTGTGAGAAAAGAAGAAACCCATTCTTATGTCCAACGTACCCATTATGCACAGCAGCCCTTGGATCTTTACTTGATTTCACTTGTATCATAAGCAGTGCAAAGAGACAGAAAAACACCGCCATGGCAAAACTGATTCGGTAGACTGCTCTGTATCCAACCAAAGCATCACAGTCCACAAAGCCTTCACAAAATCTAGGGATCTGAAAGAAGAGACCAATATAGCCAAAGATCTTAGTCACAAACATGGATGCCACACTATCAGCATATTTTCCAAGTCCATAGTTACAAGCTAAAGAGCCACAGCACACACTTTTCTTTTATACAATTCAATCCAAGACAGAAGCGCACCGGATTAAGCATGTTAAGGATTTATTTAGGACTAGCACCTTCCAAGGTTAACTGCTTCAAAGCCAAGTTCAGACAAAGGGCCAATGTATGGGCTGAAGTAAGCATAAGAGTGAATCACATTTGTTGATTCATCTATCTGTACAAATGCCAGCAGTGTCTTCCATATTGCCTGGCCTGGTTTAAGCCTCTTGGCAGGCAAGATGGACAAAGAACAGGCACACAGTCCCATGATAAATAATAAGCAGGTGCTTATCAGATGGCTTGCTAACATGTTTGCATTCTAGGCATATGTCATGCTACATTTCATAGACTCTGTGTATCAGCCATGCTACAAGCTTGATGAGAAAGCCATGAACTTGTAACCTGTGAGTCAGTAGTTAGCTTTCGCAGCATTATAGATGCAACTCAGATGTAACCTATCATCTTGCTAGTAGTAGTTAAAAAGTACAGAAGCTGGACTCTAGCCCAGCCCCTCTTTGTTCAGACTCTTGGACCAGCAGGTTTCACTGTTTGTCCACTCCACCTAATGAGAGCATCAGTGAGTAATTACTGATTGGGAACATGCTGGCATTGTGAGTTCACGCAATAAAATCTTCTTGTAGGCAAAGCCAACCCTTTCACTTTCCTTGAAATTCCAAAAAAATCTGAGCCAGAGGGTGGAAGCTGGGTGCTTGTTTTTATCACCAAGGGAAGTGTGCAGGTGAAGACAAAATATATTCTGTATGATTCTTTTCTTGATTCTGAGCCCAAACAAGGAAGCCTGAAGGAAGGGTACAGGGAAAAAAGCTGGGGAGGATTCAGCTCATCCTTGATTTTGTGCCTCTCAGTCTCAGAAGCAGACCTCTAGAAACATACATACAACAGACACATGAATAAGAGATAAGAGAACCACATATCTGCTCTGAGAGAGGCAGCGAATCTGCAGGCCCAATAGAGTAGAATTGTCTAACTGTAGGGCACACATTTAACATGGTAAGCTGCATATTTGAAATGGCACCCAGCACAGCACATCAGGAGTGCAACAACTCGTGATGAGTCCAGCGGATCATGAGAAGTGGGCCAATTTCTTTGTGCTTATACGCATGTCACCTACTTTACAGCATTTGCAGCTGCATGAAACCTATAAGCTGTCCATGACTCACCCTAACTACAAAAGATCGGAGGTTTCATGATGCAGTGACATAGTTGTCGAACAGTGGTGCATATTTAAATACAGAAAGGAAACTGTAAATGAAGGCCCCAGGCTACCATTGTTGCAAGGACTCACTAAAAGAACTCAGCCATATCTAATGGGAGTGATTTCTATTGCAGCAAGGCTTCTGAAGACAGGCTACATAAGAATCTGACATATTGGGCAAAATTACTACTATATGTACAGTGGTACCTTGGCTCACGAACTTAATCCATCCGGGACTCTAGTCGTGATCCAAACTGGTCATGAGCCAAGTTAAATTTCCCCATAAGGTTCAATGTAAATAAGGTTAATCTGTTCTATACTATTTTTTTTTAATCACAAAAATTTGAAGCGGGCACGCTGGGCGGGGGGGCAGGTGCAATCGCGGGTGTGCTGGGGGGAGGCAGTTGCGATCACGATCATCACCTGATGCGGAATTTGCGACCCCAGGCAAAATTTTTCAGAAATTTCTGGACACAACCCTATTTGGTCGTGAACTGAGGCGTTTGTAAGCCAAGGTACCACTGTATTTGGTTTACATTTTAAACAACGGCCTCTGATATTAGCCTAGATCAGGAATTGTGGCCCTCCAGATACTGGAATGCAAGGGTGACTTCCATTAAAAGCAGAAGTATATAACGCCTCACTACCTTTTGCAGCTGCCTTTCCATTCCTGGTGCCAGCATTATGCATGAAATAAGAGTACTGAGGAGAAGCAGGAAGGCATAAATAAGCCGCGTCACTGTGGAATTCTTGCTGTTGGGACAACATCGGCACAGCAGACATGATGCACCACTGCAGAGGCAGGGAATCTACAAATCAGAGATAGAAATGAGGGTGCTATTTCTTATATGTCAACTCTTACATACAATCTGCATTTTATACATGAAGACCCATGCAGCCATTCATCAAAACAAGTGTCATCCCAGAGTGCAGCTGCTGTGGAAAAGACATATTCTATGTTAGGCATAATGGGAACTGAAAATAAAACTGGTAAGACTGTGTTTTCCAATAGAGAAATCCGTGGTGCAACAACGCTTAGAACATTGTGTATAGTTCTGGTCACCGCACCCAAAAAGGACATTATGGAAAAGGTATAGAAAAGGGGCAATTAAATGATCAAAGAGTTGGAGCAACTGGAATTGCTTAGCTCAGAAAAAAGGTGAGTTAAAGGGAGATAAGATAGTACTGTTTTAAACTGGGGTTTTAATGGTGCAGAGAAAGCAGAGAAGGGGACATTTTTCTCCTCCCATAATACTAGAATGTAGGTTTATCCCATAATGGTGACTGGTGGGAGATTCAGAACAGTTAAAAGGCAGTAATTCTTCTCACAGTGCATAATTAAGCCATGGAATTTGCTGACACAGGAAGTAGTGGAGGACACCAATATGGGTAGCTTTAAAAAGGGCCTGGACAAATTCATGGAGGAGGAACTTGTCAATGGCTACTAGCCTTGGTGGCAATTTGCTACCTCCGTTTGCAGAGGCAGCTTAACTGCATACACCAGTTGCTGCGGAGCTTGGGCAGGCAGATGTCTTGCACCCATCCTGCTTGAGAGATCCTGTGGGCAGCTGCTTTGCCACCATGTGAACAGAGTGCTGGACTGGATAGGTCATTGGTCTGATCTAGCATGGCTGTCTTTTTGAAAGACTGTACAGAACGTTCCTTACTGGGCAATGGAGTTTCCAGACTATGTCATTTGTCTGTCAATCAATCACTAACCTTAACTTTAAGAAATGTTGAAAAGTTACAAGAACTGCATTAACTGAGCTTGCACATGTGTGTACACACTCACTCACACACAATATGTGAGAGGAGGAGATTAGAAACAGCAAATTCCAGTTTTAAACTCAACACAGTTCTGCTAAATGTCTGAGTTTAGGGAATTATGATTTGTTTACATTCTAACCAGTAAACAAACCAGAATAATAAACTAAAGTTTGGGTCCAGCAGGTTTTAACCAAAAAAAAAAAAATCACCATGTTTGAAAAGTAAGTGTTATTTGCTCATGCCTGTAGTTTACACATGTAATGGAAAATCCATGGTTTCCCCATTTCTTTTGAACTGATCTATAATCTGCAAGGAGACACAGGCCTGTATAAAAGCAGTCTTGCAGCATCTTAAAGTCTAACAAGTTCATTACAATATAAGCTTTCATTAATTAAGTACATAGCGATATATAGTAAGAACAAGCATATCAGAAAAACAATACAGATTTATCTACAGTTAAGTATCAAAAACTCTAGTAGCCTGGAAAAACAGCAGCCAATGTCTACCAACCTTACTGGATGTGGGACAATAGAAGTAGCAACAGTTTATTTATATCTGAACTGAAGTGTACTACCCTACAGCATAAAAACAGCAATTTGGCTGAAAAGCTATGGCAGAAATACCCCTTATCAGTGTTTTCTGAAGCTAATTAAAATAGCCAAGGTCAGATGAGTCAACCATGCAGATGTCAAGTAGGCAACCACCTTAAATTAAAAATCTTGCAACTTCCAGCCTTCCCGATCTATGCTTGGGGCATGCTGGGAGTTGTAGAACTATTATGTCTGAACACACATAAATTCCATGTACAGATAAACTTATTTCTTGAGACTTAATTCTGTAAGAGTTTTCTTATAGAATATTAGTGCATAATAGAAGCCAGATTGGGAATCCCTGCAGTAGACCCTATAAGGAATGCAGTAATAAGCTAACAGCTTATTTCAAGCAAATATACATGTTCTCAACTCATGCATCAAGCTTTTGCACACAATGTACATACATGTACACACAAAATGACTGCTGTATATGCACTCCATGTATCAACGCTGGGATACCAAAGGAGTGCAATTCATTGTATATACAAACTACATAGCGACTTACACTAAACTACCACAAAATAGTGCCAATCAACTTGAGAGAAAATTATGACCATTTTAAAACAGTGATGTGGGTTTTCCAGGAAAAAATAGAACTGGAAGATTTTTCTGGAAAAACGTTCAATACTCTATATAATCTTATCTTATTTAACATATTTGTTTGGCTCATTTTTACTCCCCAATACATATGGTCCCTCTGTGAGCATGTAACATTTCATTTTTAGTGAACAGAACTAAAAATGTGGTCCATCTCAATTTTATGCACGCTATAGATATACCAGGAATTTTCTCATAAGCTACAAAATATTTGAACTGAAATATTTGCTTAGGGAGAAATTACATTATCCACTCATTAAATGTTATATTCAAACATATTCAAAGCTTTATATACAGTTGTTCTTTCAGAATATTTGGAATACTCTAAAAAATAGAATATACTTTATGATTTATTTCTGTTTTAACAAAAATGACTACACCTAAAAGAACATGCTGTTTTAGGTATATGTTCTAAAGGAGATATATGATTTATATTATATCAGCAGTTTAATTTTCTTTTCTTGGGATAGCTGTAGCTGATAGCTTTCACCTCAGTCATTCTGGGCTGCTTATTGGTTCCAGTTCTAGTTAAGCAAAATCTGATCCAGAACTAGTTGACCATTCTATTTCATTAAAGGGTGTGCGTGAGTCTCTGGGCACAGGTCATGAAAACTGGGCAGCAGGCTGCTGTCTCTCATATTCTGCTTGTAGGATTTTGTGGGCAACTGGCTGGATGAACCCCTTAGTCTGTTCCAGCACATCTCTTGGTTTCACAATCTTGGTTTCACTTTCACTTTTCCTTCAGTTTGTTGTTGAACAATGTTAGCAATTGAGGGCAAGCACACCATGCATAAGCCTGGTCCAGAGCCAGCCGGATGCCAACTACAGTGTGCACAAGAAGGGGTCATTATACCTTATTTTAGGGTTACAGCAGCAGAAAATTGTCTGTGGAATGCTTTCCACCCACATCATTGTTTTTAAAATATTCTAGGAGGATGCAAATTCAAGAATGGATGTGAATGTCAACAGTGAATCACTCTTAAGAGTATGTTCATGCAACATACAGGAACCTGCTTTGTAATCTGACAAAGGTCAAAACCCAGAACACATTGTAATAAGTGCAGCCTTTTAGTACAGCCAAAAAGTAACAGATAAGTTTAATTGTTGAGATATCTGTAGGACAGCAGAAACCTCAGTGAAGAAACAAGATCACCAAGTACCATTCACCAGGTACACCTTACCTCAGTCCTGAGAAAATGAGGCTTATGCACCCATCAAATGCATAATTGGTACTGCTGAGTTCCCCCTCTCCCTCTCCTCACTAGCAGCTTTTGGCAGCTTCTAGAATTCAGAGCGGCTTCTACACAATCCACAGCATGCAACCTTCTCAAACCAGAAGCAAAATCTGCTGTATTAGGAAGCCATGCAACTAGAGAGGTGTGTACACTTTTCAAATTTATTTTCTTACTTATTGATACTCGGCATCCATATTCCAAATTTGCATCCAATAAACTCTGTATCTTCTTTCATGTAAGGACTCTTTTCTTTATTATCCTCAAATCTAAACTGAGGTGTCTTGGCTGGACCAGGCCCTTAGTGTAATACATAGATGCAGCAATTTTAATTGCGTATAAAATATTTACAACCAGCAATTCAATAGTCTTTCTTCATACAAGGCAATCCTCAGATGTATTTTGGGAGCATTTTTCTTCAGCTCAGAAATAACCACAAGCTATTAGCAAACATTCACAGACATACATTAATAGGCCTCCAACACCATGTTATTAAGTGTTAACATGAACCTCTACTCCCACTCTGAAGAGCAGAAATATGAAAGCACCCTTTGTTCATTTAACTATGCCAGTTCTCATATTTAAAGACAAACTGCCTATTTACCACCTCTTGATCTGAATTAAACTTGCTTGTCTTAAATGCCTCACAGCCACTTAAGATGAATAGGTGTACTGTATTTCAGAACATTCTCCTGTTCTATACTGCTTGTAGGCACCCCAAGTTGGAAAAAAGTCTTAACAAGGATAGAGTAACCCAATGGAATTACACCAAGTGGGAGACAAAAAGGCTTTTACCTAACATTTGCAATACTTGCATACATGAAACACAGAAGGCCATGACTCAGCAACCACTTCCTGGCTGAGGGACCAACTTCATTCCTCAAGATAAAATGACAGACCCTGGAAAGAAGAGCACCACAGCCTCCACTTCTTTGCTACAAACTAAATACTGGCAAAAATCAAATGCCACAGATGTTCTGTTTACTGTTCCAAACATAATCGCATACAGAAAAAGGTGATTGGGAATAGATAAGTGAGGGCAGAAAGATGCAGTTTGAATAACATTTTGATAAGGTGGTAATAGATAATAAAGGTGAGAATCAGAATTCTTAATCAACCTTTGCCAACCTGATACTGTCCAGATATGTAGGACCAGGCTGGTGGACTGGGAGTTGTAGTTCTACACATGTGGAGGAAGACTGACCTAAATGCTGTTTGTTGTGATATTAATCTGCCATTATTTAACATAATTCATACCTATACTGTATGTCATACAACTGAAAGCTTTTTTTTTTTTTTTTTACTACATATCATATGTGTCTACTTGGAAATAACAATCACTAAATTCATTGGGCTTAATTCACAGGTTAGTGGGGACAGGATTACAGCCTTAGTTCAATCATTTATTGATTAGGCAGATGTTCATAAGCCTAAAAACAGGACGTAATGACAGCAACCCTTCCATTTAGTTTATCTCCGGAATCTCGTATTCAGAGATAGACTGTCCCTGGACCTGGAGGTTTCACTGGCCTAGCTACCATGACTGCCAATAGGACCACCCTCCATGGGAAACAGTCATGATCTGGCTGCGGGTCGGCTGCTTCGGAGATGCCCAGCAACGGCTCCGGAACATCCCTTCGGGTTCCTCCACCGTAAAAATGTCGGGCCCACTGAATGCGACCATCGGCGTACCTCTGAACCCGTAAGCCTCAGCCTCGATCGGGCCTACTCAACCTCGGTACTCACCCAGCTGGCCAGAGAACAGACACCCAACACGGCCCCCATGGCGAGCTCACAACTTCACCCTCCGCTTTCCCCCAGGCCACTTCCGTCTCCCTCCGGTCGACTCCCTCCAACCTCGACCACCCGCCGCCGCGGCGATTCCAGCCTGCGTTATTGTTATCACCGCCCTTCAGGGTCGCGCTGATTGGCCGCGTGCTGCGGCCTACCAAGACTGGTCATGGGGGGGGGAAAGGCGGGACCTAACGACCCGAACCAATAGAAGGGAGCTCAGTTGAGCCCGTCGCGAAGCCAGAAGGAGGAAAGGGCTTGTTTCGCTCGGAGGTACGGCGGAATGGTTGTGGTGACGCAATAACGTCGGAAGATGGTGATTGGGTAGAGCTTTGTTTGAAAGACGGATGCTTTTGTCAGCATCTGGCCTATTGAAGAGCTGGGTTGTTTTGACAGCCGCGGACAGAAGGAAGAAGCTGTTCCGCCAGTCTTCTAAGCAATAAGCAGCAGTGCTGGGCTTGAGCTGTTGCCGTAGCAACGGGCCCACGGGACAAGAGACTTGGGTGTGAGTTCAGAGCCTGGCACCAGAGCTTAGCTCACTGCTGCAGCGCATTGTAAATATGCGTGTTTCACAACTTTGGTGTTTGAAATGCATATTTGCAATCTTTATTTACAAGTGTAAATGACATTAACACGATTCATAATTGTAAATAAATGGTAATAACATATTTACAATCTATTATTGTTTATTGATAGCACTGCACAGGTACCTCAAAGGCTGTCACAAAGAAGAACGAGAAGACCTCTCTAATGAACTTAAACTACAGCACACCCCTGCAAGCTAGACACAAGGAAGGACCGTCCTCAGACTTTTTGTAATAGGATGGGATAGAAAAGCTTTAAAATAGATACATAAATTTTCTAACGGTGAGAGCAATATGACAATGCAACCAGCTGCCAAGAGAGGTTGTGCACTCTTCCACACTAAAGGCATTTAAAAAGAAAATAGTTATCTGAGCAGGATGGTGCAATTGGCATCCTGCACCAGCAGGAGGTAGACTCAATGGCCTTCTTTGGTTCCTGGTTGGGGAACAAAACTTGATTGAACAAAACAAACAGAAAGAAGTGGAGGGATTTTAAAAGACCACATGCACAGACAAGCACACATACAAAGAGGAAGAGGAAAGCAGATAGCAGTGCTGATTATAGACTGAGAGTTTAAACACCAAATCCCAAGCCCTTCGACCACCCCTGGCCTCAAGCAATGAGGGTGGCTGGTCTATGGCTTCCTCAAGAGTAGCTAACCGAAGCACAGATGGACAGAGTCCTCATGGCAAGCTGAGCTGTCTCTCAGAGTGAGGGAGCAACTTGCTAGCTTGAGAAACCCCTCCTTTTTTTCTTCTTTTTCTGGATCCTAAAGGTAGCCAGTTTGAAGGACTGAAGGGCTGGTGATTCCAAACTGCAGCCATTTGGCTAGGATTCAACCACCCATTCATGCCCTCCTGGCCATGAAAGCTACCACTGCACCCAGTCATGGTGGCAGAATCCCCAGAGCTCCCCCCTCCCCAAAGCCCATACCCACGCTGTGCTGCCGGCTTTTGAAGGGGAGAGAGTGAGTTCTACTCTCCTTCTCTTTTCTGTCCTCCCTAGTGGGGACCAGTCTGCACTTTTCCAGCAAGTTCAGACTGTCAAAGTAACAAACGCTTGCACAGGAGCTCGAGCTGTTAACCAGTATGCTGGTAGTAAAGTTGCAACTGCTCTGAAAAGAGTCTGAAAATCGATAGACCCTTCAGGTGACCACTTTGCCCCACTGTCCAATTGATGCTGGGGCCAAATAGAATTACAGTAGGCATTTAGTTTCTTTTTCTTTGAGATGGAATCTCTTTTGAACTTTTTCCCATTTCCCAAAAGACAACCCAGAGGCTGTTCGCAGCTGTCATGATTTGGCGACTGCAATCCCTTATCCTGCTCTGCTGCATTTTTATTCTGGCACGGTCCCCCCTCGCTGGCTCTTGGAAGGGTGGAGGGGACATCCCTCCCGTTTGCTTTAACGCCCGTGTCCAATACAGGGGCAGAAGGATTTGGCCGATAATATTCACCTGGTGCGGGAGGGGCAGTTAGTGGGTTAGGGACAGGGATTCCAGTAGCCGTCAGCCCATATTTTTCCAGCAAATCTGGGCTGTTTCTAAGGGTTACAAACGCTTGCGCATGAGCATGCTCGGTCCACCTGCCGGCTCGTTGGAAGAAAAGCTGCAGCTGCAAAATGATTTGGAAATCAACCGACCGATCCGGTGGCCACCTTACTCCCCCATCCAATTTACACTGGGGCCAAACAGAAGTGCAATATTCCTGTAATTTCCTCTTTGAAATATAATCACCTTTAGACCGCTCCCAGTTATCTAGAATGCAACTCAAGGGTGTACTTGTTTGGGTTGACTTACCCTGTCCCATGATGCGCGCTGAGCGTTCCCCAGAAGACCTTTAGAAGGATTTGCAGACCTCTTTGATTTTCCTTCTGTCAATTCTGCCAGGCGTCCCTGGTCAACAGTGCTCATGCACTTATGCGGGATCCGCTCACCCCGGACTCAAACCAGGGTAATATACCAAAAAGAGTTTCCAAAACTCCCCCCTTCCACCCAAGGAGCTCCCCCTGATTCTACTCGAACTCGCCTATTCCCATAGAGTTCAACTCTACTCGGGAGTCACCGGCCGTCAGACAGGGATGGGCAACTTGCCAGCCTCTAAGCAGCACCGGACTCTAACCGGAGGCCCTTTTCAACTCTACTCGGGAGTCACCGGCCGTCAGACAGGGATGGGCAACTTGCCAGCCTCTAAGCAGCACCGGACTCTAACCGGAGGCCCTTTTCAACTCTACTTGGGAGTCACCGGCCGTCAGACAGGGATGGGCAACTTGCTGACCTCTGACCAGCACCGGACTCTAACCGGAGGCCCTTTTCTTTTTGAACCGGGTCTTCCCCCAAGCAGTTAACTCTTTTTACCAGAGGCTTTTTCTTACCTAGGAGCTCCTTGTCTTGTCGGGGTTAGCTCTCTCAGTCTCATTTTCCTCTCAGCCACCCTGGTGTACTGCAGTTTAAGATCATTGTTCTGTGTGCTACACTCTGCGATGCATGAGAGGAGGTCTTTCCTTCTTTGTGACAGCCTTGGAGGAAGCTGTAGAGTGCTATCATGTCACCTCATAGTCTTCTTTTCTCAAGGCTGAACAAGCCCAGTTCTTTAAGCCTCTCATAACACTTTCCAGGACCTGTATCATCTTTGGGAGATAAAATGCATTCTTGCCTGACACCTGATACCTTTGTCCTCCACCTTTTACACAGTTCCCAATGTCTCCTGCTAGCCCAGACAGCCCACCCCTATTTCACAGCTCCTTTCCAAAGCCATTACTACAGCTCCCCGGAAGCTGTCAACCTCCCCGCCTCCCCTCACCCCTGGCTAAGAAGGCAGCTGAATGGGGCAGAATGAATGGGGCCACACTGAGGCATGCGCCCCATTTTCATCCATACTGCCACCTCTAAGGGGAAAAAAACCCTCTCTGGGAAATTTGCACCATTTATTTGGAGAGAGAACCATGCAAATTTCATGACTGGAAAGTACATGGAGAGGAAATAAAACACAAATTTCTCCTTTATTTACTTCCCAGCTTTGAAAACTGTGTATATTTTTCCTGCATCCACTGCCCAGCTATAAATTCAGCATCAGAATAGTCAAGTTTCCCATCTAAGGAATCTATATGCATTCTTCCTGGAATCATAGTTGATGTTTTAGATTCCAGGTTTTTATAGAAATGCCAGGAAACATCATGCTGCAATTTGTTCTGTTGTTTCGGCAGTTTTGCAAGTAAGTCCCTCAAGCAAAGAGAAGTTACCCATTTCCTTTCAGAAATAGTTTCACACAATCTCTTCCATATGATGAATCTCTTCCCACATCTTTTTACTTGCTAATAGGGTGAAATTTGTCAGAACACAGATCATTTCAGTTAACTACATTGATTAATCTCATTCCTTTTTATTAAAAAAAACTTCAGGAAATTAAAATATAAACCTCTAAGTTTCCTTTGGAATGAGTAGCCGCCAAACATTCTGGACCATAATATAACATGAGCTATTCTCTCTGGAGTTTGTTTATTCATTCAAAGCTAGCTTGGTCTCAAGACACACGTTCCAGAAATATTTCTGAGTTTACAAAAGTGGTCTCAAAAAGTTTCAGAACAGTGGCTCATGTCTGCGTTTCAGCTCATGAATGCCACTGTAGTTATCTCATTTTGCATTTTGGTGCAGTGGTTAACATGTGGACATTTTGTTGTTGTGCTATCAAGTCAGCTCCAATTTATGGTGACCCTTTGAATAACTACCCTCCAGAATGTCCTCCCCTTGACAGCCCTGCTTGGCCCCAAGGCTGGGGAAATCCAGGTTTGAATCCCCACTCAGTCATGAAGTGCACTAGGTCTTCTTAGTCATTTAGCCTCACCCTCCTGACCTGGATTTTCCAAGGATAAAACAAGTGTCATCTTGAGTATCTTCGAGAAAAAGTGAAATATAAACCGAGTATCTTGTTAATATCTTGCACTAAACAAATGAGCCTCCTACATAATTCATCAAAGTGCCCTGTTGGGTGAGGATGACCAAGTTTTTTGTTTTTAAGGGTGGGAATGCTAGCAATGGCTACTAATCCTCCAGTAGCAGAGGCAGTATACCTGTGCTTACCAGTAGCTCAGAAACTTGGGCCGGAGGGTACTGTTGTGCTGTCGTCCTGTGTGGGGTTTCTTGTGGGCAGTTGCTTGGCCACTATAAGAACAGAATTATTATTATTATTATTAGAACATTTCTATGCCGCCCCTTGCCGAAGCCTCGGGGCGGCTTACAACACAATAAAGTACAATACAAAAATAACAATATAAAATATAAAATTAAAGAATGCTGGACTGATGGACCCTTGATCGGATACAGCAGGGCTCTTGTGTTTTTATTGTGTTTGAAAGTCTGTCCACTCCTACTCAATAATAAATGCCATCTGAGAAGCCACAGCAATTTCCTGTTTTCTCTTGAAGGGCAAATAATGATTTGAGCAGACATGGTGGGGAATTTAACAGGGGAATGGTGCTGGAATTACCAAGGAATGAATGAGATCTTTGCCATGCAAGCCATGTGGCCCTGTCATTGAGCTCCAACCCTTC